TTTTTTTTTAGGAAAAACAGATTTTTTTAAAAATCTAGAAAAGAAAATATTTCTTCCTTTTGGACTGCAGTCGCTCATTATGAATTTGTTTTCATTTATGATAAATAATTTTAAAAAATGTTAACTTAAATTATATTTTATATACTTTTTGGTAAAACGTAATTCTGAATACGCTAAGATTAAAAATAGCATGAAAAAGTATGAAAAAAAGACCAGCTTTTTTAAGCTTTTTTTTAAAGAATGGAAACCTAATGAAAACTATTCCAAAAATTATGCATATTACCTCTGAGTGTTTTGTTTTCGTCGGCACATCTCAACCAGTCTATTCTCCTACAATTTTCACCTTTTATCCGCAGTCGTTAATTTTCGAGCTGACTCGATTTCCTCTTGCTATATCTATCACTCAATTTAAAACCAATGTTCTTAGACTTGATGAAAATTTCGGGGTTTGAAATTATGGATATTACCAGTTCTATAGCAATACATGTTACTACATGTTATTTAATAATAATAATAATAATGATAAAGAAGAAGAAGAAGAAGGAGGAGGAGGAGGAGAAGGAGGAGGAGAAGGAGGAGGAGGAGGAGAAGGAGGAGGAGAAGGAGGAGGAGAAGAAGAAGAAGAAGAAGAAGAAGAAGAAGAAGAAGAAGAAGAAGTTTCTGTGATAAATATCCAGAAACAATTGACCATCTTGTAACAGGTTCCTTGTATAGGGGAAGGAAACTGCAAGAAGCTGGTATGAACATGACCCAGATCCTGTTGCAGAGACAGAACTGGTGACAATTTTATAGGACTTTACAATGCACACAGACAGAACAATCAAAGGTAATTACCCAGACATCGCAATCAAAAACCATAAAAAAAGAATGCCCTTTCTTATTGACATGACAGTTCTTGCAGATTGCAATGTATATTTAAAGATCTTCAAATAAATATCAAAATACAAGAATCTTGAAATGGTAATCTCATAAATATGGCACATGTGTACAACAATAATTCCAACTGTAGTTGGAGCCCTCGGAATGATGGTAAAACTTCTGTGTTAAATCTGTGTGTTATTATTTTTAACTACCTTTATAATAATAAAAATATTTATCGGTAAAATAGCATGGGGTCTATTTTACCGAGAGCAGTAAAATTAGCTTAAGTTTGTCCTTTTCCGCTCAAAAAAACAGGTAGGTGTATGAACTAGACGATACGCACGCACGCACACACACACACAAAAAAAAGATATTTAGATATCTTGACACCATGCGTTGTAAGAATCACTGAAGAGCCTTTTGAGTTATTCAGCTCGGAAGAGAACAAGTTTAAATCGTTTTGTGTCAGCCCCACTGTATCAAATAGAGCAATGGTGCTAAAAAAATCACCCAGGCCTTCAGTAATGGTACTAACTTTCATACTCTGGCTTTCATCTTCAAAGTTCATTCAAGAATCATCAAAAGAACGGTAAATACATTTTAAAAGATGGAACAATAAAAAATGCAAACGGGATCAGGAGGTTCACAACAGTAAGAGGGATCATCATTTCAAGTTAGAGCTAAATACATTCTTATTATTCGAAGCAGAGTCCAATAGTGTTATAAAAACCTCGGATAATTCCAGTAGGATATCTTTAATCATTTCTAAAATACAACGGTACAGAGTTTAATCTAACAATTGGACAGTTTTGCTGTTACACGATTTGTACAATTTTGCTGTTACACCCTATATATATATATATATATATATATATAGTCAAACCTAGAGAGCCAGACAAACCACCAAGGTTTCACGTAAGCGGATCGTTTTTTAGTTAGTTGATTACTCGTATCGGTTTTTTTTTTCTTTGGGCTATGGACCTGTATGCTGTTCGATTATTTTCGACAGACGTTCATGTTCCTAGCTCTTTCTTTTTTTAAAAACTTTTTTTCCTTCGAAATTGATTTGATCATTAGCAAATCAAGAAACCGAAGGTTTTCCGAGACGAGTGGAGTTACCTATATATATATATATATATATATATATATATATATATATATATATATATATATATATATATGTGTGTGTGTGTGTGTATTTGAGTGTGTGTGCATGACCATGAATGGATGTAGTTGGATTATATGTGTATATAAGTTTAGTTGTGTGTCGGTAAATATTTGCTCACATTTCATACTACTTTAAATTAGATTTTATATTTAATATATAACGATGTTAAATTTCTGTAGCAGAAATATATATATACATTTACAACTCACGGAGATTATTTCAGATATTATTATGCAAAGCAATGTCTTCATAATAGCGTACCTCAGAACAAGCTGTGTTGGCAAAAAAGTAGTTGAGATATACTTATATTTATAGGAACTTTGCAATCTTTCCCAAGAGGTCGAGAAAAGAAAAACAAATGTTCAAAAAAAGAGTAAAAGAAAAAAGTGCACTTCTTAAAATGAGAAACAAATTCTGTTCTGGAACGGAAGAAATGTTTATGTAGGTCTTGTTACATAAATATCCTTTATATATTTGTGTGTGTGTGTGTGTGTGAATTGAACGTGTGTGTGTGTGAAGTGTGTGAGAGAGAAAAAGCGATCACTGGACACGTAAACTTGATAAATATCTTTTCTGAAGCCACGATGGAACAACTTGAGACACGTACCGTTTTTTTGCGCGCGTTTAGGGAATTATTACTTTTTTTATTTTCCTGGATTTTTAGATTTTTCTACAGAAGCACATAATAGTATCTTATTGTTATCTGATATAAATTTATATAAATTTTATATATATATATATATATATATATATATATATATGCTTTTTTGCTTTTTTTCAGACACATTTGCATACGGATCAACGTGTATTATGCACTCACAAACAAATGTATATATGCAACAGCCGGTGATTACTCCTTTCCGAACCCACCTACTAGGGCGGTCAGCAAATACCTGCTTAAGCTACAGACTCCGCGTGTGGTTTTCTTGAACGTAACGGGCGCGGCCGGAATTTGAACGCAGCTTTTTACGTGTTGTTAACCATTACACTGCCCAAACTGCTACGCAGAAAAGTACACTGAGCAATTGGCTCCCTTAAATGACACTGTGAAAGCGTAAAACGAAGTGCTCCCGTTTTTACTACAGAACAAGATTGTAAAGAAAAAAATGTACAAATATATTAAAATAAGATTGACAAATATATTAAAATAAGATTGTCATTTAGAGATTCTTCATCAATTGAAAAGAATTATCTGCAATGATATTGCTCCTGACCTGTCATCTCGGCTTCAGTTACATTCACACAGCCGTAATAAAGCTTCCCTATGCCTTTTCTAGAAATATTTTCATGGTAATTGCTCTGATGTGCTTTCTTCATTGGTACGTATACTTTATGAACTTACCTGGCACAGGCCTCGTCCCTGGGCTGGTGATATCACGGCTAGGACTATCTTGGACCGGCTCCGGCCTGGTCCAGCTAGGACAAACCAAGATCAGGTATGACTAGTTTAGACTAGCTATGATCAGCTAAGACCAGCTTGAACCAGCGGCCCGAGTGAAAACATTCGGGTCCCCACGTTAAAAACTGATCTTGTGTCACAACCTAACTCAGTGGTGGGGTCAAGTAAATATCTACTTTATCTACATCGTGAAGAGGCATGTCACGAAGAAGAAGAAGAAGAAGACGAGGACAACGACGGTGGGGAGGAATTAGAAGAAGAAGACGATAACGACGAGGGGGAAGGAGGTAGAAGAAGAAAAAGACGACGACGACGAGGTGGGAGGAGGTAGAAGAAGAGGAAGAAGACGAGGAGGGAAGAAGAAGAAGAAGAAGAAGAAGAAGAAGAAGAAGAAGAAGAAGAAGACGAGGACAACGAGGGTGGGGGGAATTACAGTACAAGATTAGTGGCCAAGTCTCCTCATTTTACAGATAAAATTGCTAGCTGTAATCATAAACTCGATGCTAACGGCTTTTTTTCTGTTACTTCTCGCTTGTCAGACTCTCTTCAAGCGTCTGGCTTTCAGGTCAACTCTTCAAAAATTTAAATGCAATCATTTGTTTACTTAATTCCTCTTCTTTTATTGCTCTCTCTCTCTCTCTCTCTCATTAATACTATTTTCTTTGCCTCATATTCTTTCACACTCAGTAACACCTTGCATCTTAGTAGCCTTATTGCTTTGCTCGGCGAGAAATATTAAAATAAAACACTGACTACAGTTTTTTCTCGCATCTTAAAATGTCCGGTGGACTAGAATACGTGATATTTAATCACTAGCGAAAAATGCCTTTTAAAAAATGAAAGCACTTAAAAAGTATAAAAGTGGCAAGAAAGTGGAAGATTTCGTTAGAAACAAAGAAATGGCTGCTGAGTTGCTATGCAATATCAAACTTCACGTGAATGCTGGGTAATCTCTCCCGGAAGAAGAGAAAACTGGAGGCAACAGAAATGTGGTTATACAGCAGCATGGTAAGAATTCTATGGACGGGCGAGAAGCAAAGAGGACGCCTGAAAAAAAGATGGTAACAAAAAGAACACTTGTACTCAGAAAGAGAAAGTTACAGGTAATATTTCTTGGGAATATAATGAGGAATTGGAAATCTAAAGCTTCACAGTGTATACTGAGGTTGAGAGAGAGAACGGGACAGCGGTCAAAATACCTGACGAAAACTGGGGTCGAGAAAAGAGGGATATATTGTTAAGGACCACAAAAAATATGGAATCTTTTTTTAATGCAACGGATGCCTACATCGTGAAGAGTCATGTCACGAAGAAGAAGAAGAAGAAGACGAGGACAACGACGGTGGGGAGGAATTAGAAGAAGAAGACGATAACGACGAGGGGGAAGGAGGTAGAAGAAGAAAAAGACGACGACGACGAGGTGGGAGGAGGTAGAAGAAGACGAGGGTGAAGGAAGAAGGAAGAAGAAGAAGAAGAAGAAGAAGAAGACGAGGACAACGAGGGTGGGGGGAATTAGAAGAAGAAGAAAAAGACGACGACGACGATGGGGGAGGAGGTAGAAGAAGAAGAAGACTAGGGTGGAGGAGGAGGAGGAGGAAGAAGAAGAAGAAGAAGACGACAACGACGAGGGGGAAGGAGGTAGAAGAAGAAAAAGACGACGACGACGAGGTGGGAGGAGGTAGAAGACGAAGAAGACGAGGGTGGAGGAAGAAGAAGAAGAAGAAGAAGAAGAAGAAGAAGAAGAAGAAGAAGACGAGAACAACGAGGGTGGGGGGAATTAGAAGAAGAAGAAGACGACGACGAGGGGGAAGGAGGTAGAAGAAGAAAAAGACGACGACGACGATGGGGGAGGAGGTAGAAGAAGAAGAAGAAGAAGAAGACGAAGAAGACGAGGGTGGAGGAGGAGGAGGAAGAAGAAGAAGAAGAAGACGACGACAACGACGAGGGGGAAGGAGGTAGAAGAGGAAGACGACGACGAGGTGGGAGGAGGTAAAAGACGAAGAAGACGAGGGTGGAGGTGGAGGAGGAGGAAGAAGAAGAAGAAGAAGACGACGACGACGACGTTGGGGAGGAGGTAGAAGAAGAAGAAAAGAAGAAGAAGAAGAAGAAGAAGACGACGACGACGACGACACCGAGGGGGAGGTAGAAGTAGAAGTAGAAGACGACGACGACGAGGGGGGTGGAGGTAGAAGAAGAAGAAGATGACGACGACGACGTGGAGGGAGGAGGTAGAAGAAGAGGAGGAGGTCGAAGAAGAAGAGGAGGCCGAGAACGAGGAGGAGGAAGCCGAAGAAGAAGAAAAAGAAGTGTTTTTACAACCAACATAAAAGTTGTAGTAGATTTTATAAATGCAGATACAGGTTTGTGCAATTCTTCCATTCAGAATCTTAAATATCACAGTAGAAACGAACCATGATCTTTTCAAACGGAAGACTGTGATGATTAGGACGTTAAGAAAAATAACTAAACATTGTAATCAATAATATTAAATCTGATTTGCTATTATTTAATTTCATCATTACGTCATAAAAATGTAAAACTTATTTTACTACAAATAAATTTGATGTAACTATTGCGGATTTGTATCAACTCAGAAAAACAGCGAAACAGATTTTTATTTTCGTTTTTCTTACAACTACATTTTTCTTAGCGTGTATTAAAGTTCTTACAGTCCTTCTTTGTAGTTGTTTGCAAACATGAAAAGGAATACGATTTCTTCGGATGCATGTGTGAGAAAGAAGAGGCATTAGAGAAAGTGGGGATAAAAGTGTAAGTGTCACGTAGCTTGGTGATGAAGATTAATAGTAAGGGTATTTTCTTTTGCCGTATGTTGCCTTCTGTCTCTCTTTACTCCTTTGTCTGGTTTGGAAACATTGCTTAATTTCCCTTCAATGAGATTACGAAGCATTATTTTTATTGTGGGCTTGAAAGGAACACGGTCGTTGAAAAATGTTAAATATTTATATTCAAAGCATTAATTTATTAATTAAGGATGCTCTATCCTCCGAGTCAGAAACCATGTTTGTCATTTGGTGTTTGACCGTCTTGGTATTTATTTCCATCTATCCACTCCTAACTTAATTTGTTATACAGCAGTTCAACAAATGCAGTTACCCAAGAGCCACTCATTGTAGCAGGTTACTGAATGACATTGCTGTAATGACATAATGAGAACTAAAAAGTGATATGTAGCATAGATGACTATTAACCCCAAGTTTGAATATTTTAAGGTTGTAGTGATTAGAGTATGACTCCTTTATAGAAAGTGACAGTTCTAGGAAAGAAGATGTCTGCGTGGCACTTACGTATCAACTGTATACGAAGGGAATGAGAATGAGCCAACATGGCATTGTTTATTCTAGATTTGAAGGTATGAAATCTGGTGGATCTAAGGGAGATAACTCCTCTGAATATTCGCCATGGAAATATCAATAAAGTAGTAATAGGCTAATAACGAAACGTCCGTGGGAGAGGAGTTTTAGGGTGTAAAATAATTCATTACCTAAAAAGCCGCGCAAACGCTTTTGAACTCTGTCGTGACTGGACAATGAGGACCGCGTGCAGCTCCAACCCAGTTATGGTTGCAATATTCTATCTTTGGTCTGATCTGTCTATGATATTCTTGTTGGGAGACCCACATCTCTATCACTTCAATTGTCTTCGACATCGGTCGAAACTCTTCACCATTCAGTGACATGCACCAAATTAGATATGATATAACAGTTCGGTTTTCGTTTCTCTTTTTATGAAGACATTTTTGTATCAGTCGAATTTATCTCAATGGGAAACGAGAGAAACCAAGAAAATGCAATGAGTTGGTCTACTGGGCTGATGCTAGTTTCCAAGAGAGTAACTCTTTGTGCTTTTCCACTGCCATGAAATGGAAGGATTTTACTGAATTAATTATGTCGACTGCTAGGATTGTTGGTTCATTATGTCGCGCAAGGCAATTTTTATCGTCAGAATACATTTTGAGCATCTACAAATTTACCATTCATCTGTGCATAGAATATTGCTGCCTGTTCTGCTGCCCCTGCTACATCTCGAGCGTCTTGGCAATATTCTAAGAAAGGTCCGTAATGTTACAGGTCCTGATCTGGCATTTCTACTTCAGGCAATTTCCAACCGCCGTGACGTAGCTTTTTTTTTTTTTTGCTTTTTTTTTAATAACAATTTCATGCTAGTTTTTTTTTAAAGAGTTAACTCCCTTGGTAAATTGACTCCATGAATATAAGCGTTGCACAAGCTTAGCAATTATGTATCATTGTGTTGCTGTCGAACTAGTTAGATGTAACTATATGTTCTATTCTAATAGTTTTTTTTTCTCGTCTGTGACAGTTTCTTACAGTTTCTTGCTTCCCTGTCACGTGCAATCTTCAAAAAATTAAATGCAAAGTCAGTCGACATCTTCTATCTCCCTGAATTCTGTTTCTGTATTATCTCTTCTCTTCACTAAAGTCTTCTCATTTTCTTTCACTCCCAGTAATCTCTTGTGTCTTATTGGCATTATCATCTTGTTTGGGGTGAAACGATTATAAAAATAATGTGAATACTTTACTTAGTTTCATTAAAATAACATTCGCTATTTCTACGTGCCCCCAGATTTCTATTTCTGTCGCTTGTTTTGATAACACACATTCAATTATTTTCTATACCTATTTTTTTTAAAAGATACAAATTGCGTCAGAAATAGCGAAAAAAGCTAAATGATGAAGCAATGATAACGGAATTGTATAAAAAAAGAAATAAATTATTGAAAGAAAATAGTGAAAGAAAGAAAAAAAGAATGAAAAAGAAAGATGATGCAATGAAAACTTTCGGAATTTTATATCGAAAGAATGAGAGAAATTACAAAAAAAAATAAAAAAGTAAATAAATAAATATATAAAGAAAGAACTTAAGATAAAAGTAAGGGAAGGTAGAAATGTTTAACGCCTCTTACCTAAACCTCATAAATAGTGGACTATTCCGTTATGACCGCTGGAAAATACGTAACATATCAAAAATGCTACTTGGTTTCACTGAGAAAATGAAAGAAAGAAAGAAAGGAAAGAAGATATAAATGATTTATATGTCCTATTTATGCCTCATAAAGAATGAATTATTCCGTTATGGTAGAGTGAAAAGATATGAGAAACGTTATTTGGTTTCAGTGAAAAAAAACAAAGAAAGAATTGTTTAATGTCTCTTTCATTTAAATAGAAAAAGTTGTTAATTTTATATCTTTTCATTTGTACACACTTACTTATAAATAAATATATTATTAAACATGTTTGTAAGTAAAGTTTTTGGCTATGAATTATAATTATGCTGGGCCCTCTCATCGTTAGTTATTTCGTTCCTTAGATAGTTCACACTTCTGTTACGCCTTGCCAATACCTCACGAATATTAGACTATTTCGTTTTGTCCGTGTGAAAATGCAGATCTGACCTATCAGGGACGCTACTTGGTTTCAGTGAGATAATAAAAGAAAGAAAGAAATGGCGATACTTCATAAATAAAGGACTATTCCATTTTGAGCGCGGGAAAAGACTGAACTGACCTATCAGGGACGCTACTTGGCTTCAGTGAAAGTTAGAAAAAATAAAGAAAGAATCGATGATATAAGTGTTTAAAGTTTGTTTCAGTGAAATGGAAATAGTTGTCTTATATCTTTTCAGTTTTACATCCTTACTCATAAATAAATTTATTAATAAAAATGTGTTCAACATTATATCTGATAATAATAAAAATAATAATAATAATAATAACAATAATAAGAAGATAGATAGATAGATAGATAGATAGATAGATAGAAGTTTTCAACCTCTGTTTCAGGGAAATGGAAATAGTTGTCAATCTTATATCTTTTCATTTTTACATCCTTACTTATGAATAAATTTATTAATAAAAATGTGTTCAACATTATATCTGATAATAATAATAATAATAATAATAATAATAATAATAATAATAAGATAGATAGATAGATAGATAGATAGATAGATAGATAGATAGATAGATAGATGTTTTTAACCTCTGTTTCAGTGAAATGGAAATAGTTGTTAATTTTATATCTTTTTATTTGTAAACACTTGCTTATGAATAAATTTATAAATAAAATTGTTTGCAAGATTATATGTGATAATAATAAGAAGAAAAAGATAGATAGATAGATAGATAGATAGATAGATAGATAGATAGATAGATAGATAGATAGATAGAAGTGAAGTGGAAATAGTTGTCACTTTGATAACTTTTCATTTGTAGTCACAATACATTTATTAATAAAAATGTTTGCAAGACAGGTTTTCGGCTAGTAATTATAATTATGTTGGTCCCTTCATCCCTTCGTTAGTTAGTTACTTCCTTAGTTAGTTCACACAATTCTTCCGCTCTACCAATATCTCATAAATAATATTCCGTTTTGACCGTGTGAAAATACGGTACTGACATATCGGAAACTCTACGTGGTTTCAATGAGAAAAAGAAAGAAAGAAAAAAGAACGATAAAAAGAAAGAAAAATGAAAACTAAAAACAGTCGTTATCTCACAGCCAAGAAAGAAAAAATAGAAATGAAATTACGTATGAATAATTAGAAAATGGTAAAATTGCGAATGAAAGAAAGAGAAGAAAGAGACAAAGAAACGGAATGAAACAAAGAAACGGAATGAAACAAAGAAGCAAAAAAAATGAAGACAGAATAATGAAAATTCTGTGAAGTGTTTATCAGAAGATACAATGAAAAACATGACTGCAAAATGAGATTCTAAAATATGAAAAGAAAAAGAACGAAATGAAAAAAAAAACTTTAAATATACGAAAACAGAAAAAAACACTATAGAATCTATGAAATTATCAAAAATATGGACACAATTTTCCCACTATGCAAAATATGTTTTTTAGGTGTTTCGTCAACGCATGAATATTAATGGTTACAGCCCTACTTTTTAAAAAATCAGCCTCGCTTAGTTTTTTAAAAAAGTGATTACCAGTGATTCAAATGATAAAATACATTATTGAAAGACAGTCAGCCATTATTTTGGTACATGTGAAATTCTCCATTCTTAACTTTTACTGGCCTCATCTCTTATTTTTGCCTCATTATCATTTGCAATTTGATCATGAACAATTTCATCGTCATCTATTTGATTTCATTATTTTCGTATTTATTGCCGACAGTGTGAAAGTTTGGTTCACGAAGTGCAGAATGTTCCCCTTTTTTTCTTTTGAATGAATTACTTGCATCCATTCCCCTTTTTTTCTACCATTCACATGTTTCATAATTTTTAATTAATACAAAAAGAATATCTTGTTGCTATCTTTGTAATCTATCGGGTGAAGTGGAGTGCTGGGAAGTTACAGCGAAGCAGAAAATTGCATAAAAAAACAAAGGCGATGAAAGATAGGATAATTACCGTAAAATTTTTATTCGACTAATTGTATGAATCTGTTGAGGCTGATCTGTAAGAAGACAAATTTTACATGAAATGGAATGCTTGCAATAAATGCAGATGAAGCGCAAAGGAAACGAGCGACGATCAAAGAAAGATTAAAAGATGAAAGAAGGAATGGAAAAATATTGAACAATGGAAAGCTAAATGGAGAAAAAGAGCGAGGAGAAAGAAAAAAGTAAGAAAGTGAAAGGATGGAGTTTAAGGGAATTGACGAGAGACGGAAATAAATAGCAATAAAAAAGGAGAAAGAAAGAAAGAAAGAAAGAAAGAAAGAAAGAAAGAAAGAAAGAAAGAAAGAAAGAAAGATGCAAACAAATGGCGGAAAAAGACTACAAGGAAAAGTGTCATGAGAGTTTAAGTGAAAAAAGAAGAAAAGAAAGAACTAAAGAAAGAACTAAAGAAAAAAAGAAGCAAACAAAAGGCGAGAAAAGAAAAAAAAGGAAAGTGACAAAAGAATTTAAGTGAAGAAAAGAAAGAAAAGAAAGAAAGAAAGATACAAACATAAGGCGGAAAAAGAAAAAGACTACAAAGAAAAATGTCATGAGAGTTTAAGTGGAAAACGGTGGAAATAAAGAAAGAAAGAAAGAAAGAAAGAAAGAAAGAAAGAAAGAAAGAAGTAAAGAAAGAGAACTAAAGAAGAAAAAAGCAAACAAAAGGCGGGAAAAAAAAAAAAAGAAAAAAATTGGAAAGTGACAAGACAGTTTAAGTGAAGAAAAGAAAGAAAAGAAAAAAAAAGATGCGATCAAAAGACGGAAAAAGAAAAAGACTACAAAGTAAAGTGTCATGAGAGTTTAAGTGAAAAAAAAGAAAGAAAGAAAGGTGCAAACAAAAAAAAAAAAGAAAGATTCAAACAAAAGGCGGAAAACAAAAAAGATTAGAAAGAAAAGTGACATGAGAGTTTAACCGAAAACAGAAAGAAAGAAAGAACTAAAGGAAAAAAAAAAGAAAGAACTAAAGAAAGAAGCAAAGAAACGGTGAGAGAAAAAAAGAAAATGACTAAAAAGAAAAGTGACATGAGAGTTTCAGTGAAGAGAGAAAAGAAAAAAAGAAAGAAAGAATGAAACAAAAGGCAGAAAAGAAAAAAAAGATGAAAAAATGTCATAAAAATTTAAGTGAAAGAAAGGAAAAAACATAGCAACAAACAAAAGGTAGAAAAGAAAAAAAAGTGTCATGAGTGAAAAGAAGAAAAGAAAAAAGTGCCATGAGTGAAAAAAAGAGAGAAAGAAAAATAATGCGAAAAGAAATAAAAACGAAATGAAAAACGAATAAGTAAAAACTGCATGAAATGTACTTTAAACTATAAAATGGATATGCTGAAGAAATAAATAAATAAAGAAAGAAAGAAAAAGAAAGTAAGAAAGAAAGAAAGAGAGATAGATGAATACGTCGTAACTTCATGAAAACAGTTTAATATATTCAGTGGAAAACTTAAATGAAAGAAAGACAAACAGAATGAACAGGTAATTTCCTTAAATTCGTAATGTTAAATATTAATAGGAAATACCGAAAATATTAAAAGAAACTTGAAATTATGAAGAAATATTTTTTTTCATGGAAGAAAAGTTTGATGAAACAAGTCGAATGGATGAAATGTTCGGAAACCCAAAGTTTTAATTATAGAGCGCCTCTATTTAATCGATCAAAAATCGATATGGATCTTAAAGTTCGATGTCTGAAAAACAGGAGAGACACTTCATAGAAATAATTTAAAATATTTTTCAAATAAAAGACAGACAGAAAGATGGAGATGAACGGATAAAAGCCTTTCCAAGTTGATTTCACTACCTGATCTCGACATTTACGACCTGATGCCTGAAGGTGATTTTTATTTCTTTTTTTTTTTTTGACGAAGATTCACGGAGAAGTAGTGTAATGGCTTAAAGTGTTGGTTCATGAGTTTGAGAAATAGTAACTGTGTGTTCAATCCCTATATAAATAATATAAATTTTAAACCCTCACCCAGGAATTCAGAGATAAATTATGTAAAGATACACTGGGGCCCACTCTTGTAGTTTTTCCCTGTTCGGACAATGAAACGGCATGTTGAGTCATTATTTCGTTCACGTCGATCTGCAACAAGAACTGAGAAATGCATGATCACAAGTAAAGAAGTTGAAAATCTACGCCACAGAAAGTAATAACGACTTGAACACGGTTTCCAACATATTTCTGGATTAATCAGAGGTTCACTTACACAGTTTGGGTGGGAAGCTATGGAGACACTTTGGTAAACATCTGACATTTCAGACTAATTACGCCGGTTTTAAAAAAAAGTAAAAGTTTACGAATTTTTTTTTTTTGCGGGGGGGTATTTTTTTTATTAGGATTGTTTCCAGTTTTTCTAAAGTCTTTTAAATTCTATTTCACTTCCAGTAGCCCCTTGCGTCGTATTGGCGTCATCGCCTTGCTTGGGGTGTATTGATTAATAATTAAAGCTACCACCGAACAACAATAAAAATCAATTGTCGAATCACATGTATCCAATAGAATTAACTCATTACTTATTTATTATATAACTAGTATGCATCATATTATAATATCTCAGGAAATTTAATTGATCTATTTACAGAATGACAAAAAGAAATATTTCTGCAAGCACTTACACAGAGTCGTATGATGTCATTTGGATTGCGTTGTAGTATCGCCAAGAGACACCAATGATTTCAGCCTGCAGTAAGAAAGAAAAAGGCTAAATTGGGATGGAGAATATAGCACCTGAACTCTCGATTAATGGTGCAATGGGTCTTTCACTGATGATGCGCATATCAACCTACTTCAAACAATGGAACACCGATATGTCCGTTACTATTTTTAAAAAAAAAAAGTGTTTCAACCAGGGATGATTGGACCAATGATTCACAGAGAACGAAGCAAGATAATGTACTGGCGTTGTTTCCGTGTTGACAACATTGGTCAACTTGTCGAAATTCCTAATCGCATAAATTCTACTAGATACATTCAACTATTGCAGGATGGTTATAATGCGAATGATCTTGTTCAGTTTAATTGCATTCTGCAGCAAGATAATGCCCGAACCAAAAAAGCCCAGGTAGTAATGGCTTGGTTTCAGCAACAAGGATTTACAGTTACGCCATGGCCCCGGAAAATCACCTGATGCAAACCCATTTGAACATATTTGAGCCACATTGAAGGAATAATTGAACAAATGGGAAATAACTTCAAAAGAAATGCTTCAAATTAAGTTCCAAGTTGTGTGGCGTGAGAAAACGCCTATTATCTCAACCAATCTCAAATATATATATGTGTGTGGGGGGTATGAAATTATATTTCACCTAAACGGATCGATCACGATATATATATATATATATATATATATATATATATATATATATATATATATATACTATCAGCATGGGCCAGCGTTGCCCGTGCTTGATTCAAAAATCGTACGACTCATACAGCAATCGCTATCACTTGACTTAAAATATTTTTGCCCTTCCTTGCCTTTAAAATAGTGCTCGTTTCCGTGCTGATGTTGCTACATGCCTTAATTCTTGCCTATCTCACACTGCGAATTTTTTCTAAGCTCTATACTAAACATTAAATCTGTTACGGAAAAAGGACTAAACAAAATGAACACAAAACGATCAGCTTTAAAAAGGGATTCGTAACTGGAAAAACCGAATGAAAAAAGAATGTTAACAACAAATAATTTTTCACATCCAACCCAGTTCTGCGGAATCAGAATCAACGTTGAGTTTAAGCAACCGAATGATCCAATTGGAGTAAAGCGCCATGCAGCTTTAAATTTTTCCCACTTGTGACGAATGCACCTATCGATTTTTTTGCATGCTAGTTAACATTCGTGCCAATCAGCTGTTGGCTCTTACGCTGGCCAATAGAATCTTCCTGCATATTCGTGGCAGCCAGCTATAGGCTCTCACTCTGGCCAGTAGAAAGTGCCCGCAAACTACATGAAAAGTGCCGTAGAAGCATGATAAAATCGATTATTTCCACTATCGATGGGAATTGGGAAATGCAAAGTCGGTATTGGCCTTTCCGCTATCTTGAAGTATGTGCATGTAAATTTTGGTGCAAATCCGTCAATAATTGCGGCCGTGCATTCGTTACACACACACACACAAACACACACACGCGCGCCCGCGCACACACACACATCCTGCCTTTTATAGATAGAGATTCAATTATATATATATATATATATATATATATATATATATATATATGTGTGTGTGTGTGTGTGTGTGTGTGTGTGTGTGTGTGTGTGTGTGTGTGTTTTCTCACGTCACACATCTTGGAACTTAATTCGAAGCATTTCTTTTGAAGTTAGTTCCCTTTTGCTCAATTATATATATTCCCTTCCTTTCTTGCGTGACACGATGACCTGTGGGTAAGATATCTGTTTAACGTCAAATCGATCGGTTTTCGCTTGAAGTAATCGGACAAGTAGCCACACTGAGGAGCTGTGATCCCGCGAAGCATTATGTCTGTGAATGACTTTGGAGCCATTCTAGCAAAGATACAACTTAGGTCATGTTGGGAGAATGGATGAGTATAGACTTCCAAAGACGGTGCTGTATGGGCAACTACCAAACTCCAAGCGTTCACTTGGACGTTAACGCTACAAAGGCAAATTTAAAGAGAGCTTGAAAACACCTTAACTTGGATCTGAAAACCTAGGAAGACCAAGCATCAAACCGAAAGGAGTGCCGTAAGATATATTTTATTAAGTTAACGGGTAGACTGAATCACTGTGATTAGCTTCTTCAGCCTCCGAAGCAGAGAAACCATCAAAATCCTGCTTTCATCTGTCATTGTGGCTGGGCTAGAATCACACTTAACAAAGCAAAATTAATTACGTCTTTCCTTTACATGATTTTCTCCACAATAGCCGCTGTTAGCATGCATAAGACACCATCCAATACAAACACCCTCATTTATCGTTCACAATAGGAGAGTTCACCATATACATATATATATATATATATATATATATATATATATATATAGATAGATAGATAGATAGATAGATAGATAGATATGAATATTATACGTATATAAATAAATTGAAATATAGAACATTTTTTCAGCTTTTAAAATTTGTATGTATTTCTATTGATTTTTGATTTGATATCATACGACAGGAATCAGTATTCATCAAGAACTCTAAGCGCAAAGAACAATATTGTCTAGACACTGAGGCAAGACAGATTATTTTATTTTCTCTATCTTTTTTATTCTGTCTCTTGATTTTTAGCTGAATATTTTCGCTCTTTATCGGAATCCATATTTTATTTCCTATTGATGTACTTAAAGCCATATCAAAACAAATTCGAAAAGTAATGCAAGCACTCATACATTTTGCAAGAGCCAAGAAATATTAAGACGCGTAGAACTGGGCGGATCACTTTCATGCGATATTTGATGCGATATTTAAGATATTTAGTTTTTAAAAAAAAAAAAAAAAATCAAATGTACACACTGATCAGAAATACAGAAAGTAAGGATTTGTTGAACAAAACTTTCTTTTCAGTATAATTTCTCTTCTCTGAAAGATTTGTAAATTTAGCTTGCCTTGAACGAAACTTCAGTAATCTTTAACCTTCGGGCCTGTAAAAGACAATGTATCAAAAGGACATTTATAACGAACTCCACTCCTCGGCAGTTTTTATTGTTTTAATTCATGTGTGCTTGTGCCTCAGCTAAGTTCGGTGTACTAAAAAAAAACAAAGTCACTACTAGATGGAAGATTAAGGTTGCACTAAATGTAATTTTACCGCAATTTGGAGGAATTCTGCACACATTGATCATTAGTAGCTACATATATATATATATATATATATATATATATATATATATATATATATATATATATATATAATATCGACTCTCCCGTCGAGATTCGACGTATGAGGGTCAAGCAGATCGGTTTCAGGAAACCGACAGCCCGGACACCGGCTCATGAGATTTGATTATAGTGGTGAAGGCTTCGTGCAGGACCATCCACACTTTTTGAAGGGACGAATACCGAGA